TCCCTCTTTGTTTGTTTTTATCAATATTTGGTAAAGGTGACATTGCAAGTATAGATCTTTGTGCATATTGTGATGCAAATAGGAATATTTGAACACTCAATTCAAAATTGATTCACTGTAGTATCTCCAAAGTGTCAGGAGTATTGAATTGCTGGCCTCAATAGGCTTTTCAAAATAAATAAATAAATAAATAAATAACCTTCACAGTACACACCAAGCTCACTGACAACATATAGGCCAGGTGGCAGTAATGCTAGAAGAATGACAGAATCGCTGAACATGGGCGATGATGAGGAGAAGATATTAAAGATGCTGGGCTGGAGGTGACAGAAAGACGAGCATGAGTGAACTCTTACATTCCTCTTTGTCTCTGATTAATTTATTTTACCCTGAGGTCAACCTCAGAGGACATAAACAAACCTAAGTATATGAAGCACCTAATGTAGCATGAAACACAGAGGAAATGAGGATGTAAGGCACGTCAGTGAAAATATTAATGTCGTTACAACCATTTGCCGTCTAGCGATGTCAATTTGATGTGTTTGTGTGCATTCAAGCGTAAGAGTTGATTATTCTGCTACAGGTCCTGATGAGTGGAGTTTAATTTAAATTCAAGTCAGGGGTGTGCGAGACAGTCAGCGATGAGGGCCATTGATACTCTATGTGTTCATACTGCAGAGAGGTAACTGTGCTGAGGCTGCCGGGAACATTTTCATTCCTCATTCTGCAGTGTAGAGGTCAAGGGCAATGTGCAGTATACGCTGCTGTTAGTGACAGAGCTTCTTGATAAGTTATAATGGGCATTAAATCTGCTGGTAGAGTTCGATAACACATACTATAAATCAAGCAAAGTATTTCAAGAGAAGCAAGGCTCACTGTGGCAGACGCCTTTTCACTTTTTGGATGCACACATCCATTGGGATCTAGTGTCACTACTGGGAGACAAGGTCTCTCCTCAGGCTGTCAAACTCACAAAAAAAAAAGATGTTGAAAAACAAGACGGTTACTCCCAGGGGAAGAAGAAAATTGTGTTTTGTCTTTGAACTTGTGAATTTCAGACTTTAAAAAAATGCTAGTCATTTAGTTCCTTCCTTCTCCCTGCATCATATCCTTTCTCGGGTGCACAGACAGCAGTGATCACAAGCCTTTGCGAGGCTATGTGTATCTGAGAGTGTGTAGTTTGATGTCTGTGGTCTGTGATGTTGGTGCTTGAAAGGTATAAAACAGCAGGTGTGTTCTCCGACTTTCCTTAGAGGTCCCCATCTCTTTTCACTGGCCAGGATTGGATTAGCAATCCTATCCGCGCTACCTTCCAGTAGGCATGCAAATAAACATGCATACACACACACTGCTGCCAACCTTAGATGACAACAACAGCAACAAATCCTACAGCAGTTTAAAAAAATGCAAAACTCTTTTTATTCTGACAATTAGTGAAGTTGTCATACATGCAAACAATGGGAGCATCTACAGTACCATATAAAGAGTGCAGATTCAACTCTGCCAACTGCTACAGCCATGAGGGAACAGCAACGCTTTTACTATGAGAGTTTCCTTTTCTTAGTTGTCAGCTGTTTGTCAGTAAAACTGATACAAGGCCAAAACTTTGTAAACTACATCTACAGCATAATGCTTAATGTATTATCTGTATACATACAGTATAAAGACAAAGGTGGTAAGGAAACAACTTCATATTATTCTGTGGCCCACAAACAAAGTGGAAAGTGATTAAATAGCAGTCTCCAAGGCTCAAGTGCTGGAGTCCTGTCGCCCTCCCTCCCTCTTTGCAGTACATTTGGGTTGACAGAAGATGCAAGCTGACCTTGCTCCACTGCGTGGTCGCGACCTCCTTCGAATTCCTTTGTAGCACTGCAGGGAGATACCCAGCTCCTCCATTACTGCTCTCAAAGACACACTCTGCCAAAGAGAACAACAGTTAGAGGCCTATGCTAGGACGCCAATAAAGCTAATTCCATTAAGTCATTATGACTTTATAAACTCGGGTGATGAGTTAAAGGCTGAATGTGCTAAGAAAACATTGCTGCTACTCCATAACTGGATTAACTACCAAATTATAGGCTTTAACTGAACAGTATAGTAATTTAAATTTAAACTAAATGCACTAACATTTGATTCAGGTTTTGAACTCAGCAAAGGCTTCTAGGAGTTTGCCTGCAGGTGAATGTGAGCAGGCAGCTGATGACAGCTATACACTTTCACAAGACAAACGTCAGAAATGACAAAACATATACATTGTACATTTATCTGTAAAAGACATGCAAATTCTGCCGTCTCATCATGAAATCCAATTAGACAGACAAGAGATAAAGAACCATGTCTGCTGTGTGACATCCTAATGCAGGCAGCTACTGTATCAATTCATAATATGGTAATTATTTTAAATTATCAAAGAGAGGACCATCTGAAATAAGAAGCCTGAGGCTTATTTGATTCTGCAGAATAATACATTACAGTGAACCCATTATTCTTCAGTCATGTTTATTTTGCCTCTTATTCTGCTCTCCTCCAGGGGTATGCTTACTACATTTATTTAGCAAATTATCATTTGCTGCACAAAGGTTCCCATTTCTATCTGTTGATCTTTGCATCCAAGGACCAATGAAGGTCTTCCATTTTCATCCTTAGGCTTTGCCTAAGGCTCCTTAAGGAATACAGCTTCCTGCAGGGTTCTCAAGAACACCATTATCAGCAAAGAGAACCCACCTCCCAACACACTCTGACCTTAAAGACAGAGAGAGGAGCCAAAACCTGAGATTAAATTCACAAATCTTTTGGACTTGGCAGAACACTGTAGAAACCCAGAATAAAATACTAATGTACAATAATATCCCACAGTTAAACATTGTTGATGGCCGGTGTATGTATTCACTTCATAATAAAGAAACGCAGTACAAAAACATGTTTGATTTTGGTCTCATTTTATAAAACTATCATTAATTTAGTGCTTTGCATATATGCACTGACTTTATACCCTTCAGTGACAGTAGTACAGATGACAAGGTCAGTCCAGGGGTGTAATGAAGACCTTGAAAGTCTGTTTGTATCTGTGATCTTATTCATTATTACCTCAGTTAAAACGGCCTGCAGTCACCACCAGTTATTCAAATCTGTGTCAGGGGACATACTCTATTAACCCAACATGTTTCATCACTGTTATCCAAATTTCAGCAAACCAAACCAGTCAACCAAAGAGCTTAATGAGGAGGAAAACATTCCCAAAACTCTTCCTATCTGTTGATTTCCCCAAAGGTTTTTAAAGTCTGCTTCTTAAGTATACACGAATGCCTCCAGAGATTAGCAAAACTTTTAGACTACTAAGTTAAAACTAAGTGCAGGGGGAGCACTGGAGAGTCAGTGTTTATATGAGCTTACAGTAAATTCCACATTTTGCAAACTACAATGAATTTAAATCATTTTGATATCAAAACAAAACAAACAACAGCATTTTTTTACACTAATTTGCAACTTTAAAAATCCTTTCTAGAGATACTGGGTATTTCCCCAAATAAGAATCAATAATTTTATGCCTTGATCAGTCTAATGAAATAAGATCATCAATGTAAGAGGAGAGCAGTCTCAGGAAGGTTGTGATTATCTGACACAGCTAGAAATATCAACAGATATCAAAGACTATGAACACAAGAAACAGACATTTTGCAGGGAAGCAATGTGGGTCAGTTAGTGAAGATGTAATGGTAACTGGGATGGGCTGACATAGGAGCAGGAATACTGGGCACAGAGAGAGGGCACCTGGTTACAAACCTATCGTCTAGAAAGTCTATGTGTTGTAAATGTGCTGCCGTGGCTAATCTGTGTCATCCCCCAGCAGCCTGCCGCTCTCCAGATCAGTAGATAAGGAGGTGCCAGAGGAGGAGGTAGAGCCACGCCGCTGAAACTGATGGGACTGCACCCCGTAAAAGAAACAAAAGGCCTGAAGCAAGCATGCAAAGAAAAAAAGAATGGAGGAGAAAATAGAAAACAAGCCAGACTTGTAAAAAAGCTTAAATATTCTGAGAAGAAAATCTGAAAAGAAAAACATAAAAAGGCAACACAAAGAAAAACTAATGATGTTATTGTTGCTCTTTCATAGCAACACCTCTGATAAAAGTGTTTCTGAAAGCTGATACAACTCCTGCATTCACTAAATAAGGCTAATAATTACTCATTTTAGTGTCATAACTTGTGCTTGGCTACTAGACAGAGAGGATATTACTACAGCACTGATAACATATTGGTGTCATGGGTCATATATGACCCACTTTGGTCAAATGAGAAATAATTAAGATACACAAATATTAGTGAGGCTACTGTGTAGGACAGACACTTTTATACAATGCTTGTGATTTTAAAGAACCTACAGTTAATTCATCCATATCAAACATCTCATCATCAACTGAAGAATAAAGAATACCTTTAATCCAATCGTCATCATTCAGCAGAAGAACAGCTTCTCCTCACTCACCTCCTCTATGTCAGCGTTCCTGCGGGCCTTGTAGATGAACTCGCCGATAGCCACGAACACAGAGAGAACCAGACCAGCAGCCAGGACGATGAAGATTCCACCGATGTTTTCCACACCCAGTGCGCTGGCCTCCTTGTTGTCCTCCTCTGGACATCCATTGCCTCTCCACCACTTCTCTTTCATCATGTGCAGCTTCCCTTCTTCTTGCAGCTGAAGGATGGCAATGGTCACTTTATCCCTGTATGGAGAACCTGAGGGAAATAGAAAGACATGAGATACTGACAGAGCAACTACATTCCATAACATGTCATTCTTTATTGATAAAAATCTTCAAAGGGCCCATTAAGGCATGGAAGCCCCCCTAAAGCACTCATCTCTTTACAGTGTTTGAACTATTTTTACCATGAAATTTGGCCTCTAAGCTAGGACAACTACTTTTCTGGGCATGGACTGTGCAATTTCTCCAGCTATGGAGCACATTCAGGACCTGCACCCAAGTTTTACAAATATATAAATGACAATAAGCACTACTTGAACAAACATGCATCAGTAAGGACTGCAAACACAGTCCATCAGGCTGACTTGCATCCAGTTTAGGTCCCACCAAGTGGCGTGAAACCTTACACAAACATTTGCACTGAACACACGCAGAGCTTATAGATGGAAGTGAAATTGCATGTTGAGGATACAGGAATAGCAGTTCTGTACTTGAACTCCTGAAAGTGAAAATGGATATTCCAAAGACCTCCTTATGCAGAAACCATTAATATTCTATTCTAGTAACAATTGCCCAGAAGCATTCAAAGCAGTTTTTATCATTGTGATTTGTGCAGTATACTGTATATTTGTCTATGACTTGGTTTAAGTAACAGAAGGTTAAATGTGTACACTTTTCTCTGTGTACACTGTCACTGTTTCCCACCGTGGTAACAAGACTTTAAAAATGATTGTCGTTTCTCTGGGGCAGTGATGAGAAGTAAATCTTTAATTCTTCTTACCAATAGGTGTTCCCACCCCATAGCCCTTGGAGTCTATGAGACCTCCAATCTGTGTGAGGTTGCAGTTTCTCTGGCTGATGTACTCGATGCTGGTGGACTCCATCAGCATGGCGTAGTCCGTCGTCAGAACCCGGGTGATGCCTTCCTCATTGTTCTTAACCAGCGCAGTGTTCTTCCTGCTGCTCATAAAAGTCCACATCTTCTCATAAGTAGAGATCTTTGATTTCTGCCAAAGAAGCCAAACAGGCAAAATTTGCTGTGCATTGGCATATAAACACCAGCTATGTGTATTTGTGGCTGCACATATTCACCATACAGTACATGTACTTAACCATATTTGATTTGATTTATTCTTTCAAGCATGTAAAGACATTTGATATGTCAACACACATAATTTCACACATATCCAACAAATGCTAATCCAATATCAATTTGCTTATACCTAGTACATGCTTGAATGGAGTAGGAAGAAGTCAGACTTATCCAGTCCTACCCCATGACATCATCTTACCATCATTGGTTTGCAAGCAATAAATGATTCACTTCTATTCTCTTCTACACCACACAAGTAATATACTAAA